AAAAAAAGAGAGGAATTGAAGAGTGAGGAGTTGCGAAATAGAAATGGGACATAGAAAGTAAGAAAGAAAATAATGCATTTTTTTTTATGCTTATGCAAGGGTCAAGCTGACAAGGTTAGCATGGGTATTGATGACATCAATGGCTTGTCCGACCTCAACTCGCCTGCGGGCAGCAACAATCCAGTCCTTGGCAAGGCGCTTGCTCCAGCCCTTGAGTTGGTTCAATTCACGGACAGCTTGCTCCAAATCAGACTCGATCAAGTAGTATTCAGTGCGTGCCAAGATAGCCTCCACATCGTTACCAGGTACCAAACCGTGCTTCTTGAACATGAGCTTGGACAGGATCACACTCATACCATGAGCCAACACACCACCGTTCTCGGGTACCAAGCTGGCCTCACGGACACGGTCAGCCACATACTCAAAGCGATCCATCAACTCGGGCACAGAGTCAACACCCTCAGCGGCAACCTCCTCAGGCACAGAGGCCAGGACAACCTTCAAAATCTCAGCATCCTTCTCCGTCTCGGCCAATCGCTTCAGACGGGCCAATTCGCGGTCAAAGGGACGACGCTCACCAGCCTCATAAGCCTTCTCCAAGGCCTTGATACCGCACCAGAGTTGATGGGTGCGAGCAGACTGATCCAAAAACTCGGCATTATCCTCGCCTTGACGCTCCAAGGCCTTGAGGCGAAGGTTGATCTTGTCCAAACGAGCAAGACGGCCACCGCGCTCGTTCTCGACACGGACCTTGACCTCTCTGACCCAGCGACGCTGCATATCCATGGCGTACTTCATCAACTCTTGCTTCTGCTCCTCGCGCAAGAGCTCCTGCTGGATCTTGAGCTCACGCTCAATAGCCTCCTTCTTCTCCTGCTCAAAGGTCTCCTCAAGCTCCTTCTTGAGCTGCGAAACATGACCCTCATGGTGGGCCTCCTTTTCGCTCACAAGACGGTTGTACTTTTCAGTCAACTGGGCCATGACTGTAGCAGCCTGGGCCTCACCCTCGACCTTCAAGGCCTCGACGCGCTCGCTCAAGTGCTTGAGCTCCTCGTTGGCCTTTTCAAAGACCTGGTGACCCTGCTCTGGGATACCGTTCTCATTCAAGATCGAGACAAGCTGGTGAAGAGTCGTGTTGAGGTTGGCCATGATAGGCTCCTCGGACTCGATAGGGGCGATGGTAATCAACTTCTTGGGTGCTTCCTCAGTCTTCTTCTCAATCACATCCTGAATCTTTTCCTTCACATCCTGAACCTTCTCCTTGACCTCCTCAATAGTCTTTTCAACCTTGACCTGGATCTTCTCTGCAACTTCAGCGGGCTTGGGTGCAGCGCCAGGGGCGGCGCCAGAAAGATATGCAGGGGCAGGGACAACAGAGGGGACATACTCAGTGCGGGCAGCAGGGACAGCGGGCTTGGGCTGCTCCAACTCTTGAATCTTCTTGGCCAGCTGCGAGTTGTTGGAGGAGGCCTTTTCGGGGGCAGGGGTAGTGGTGCCATTGATCAGGTCGGTGGCAGATCTGTAGGCAGTCTTGGAGAGGTCAACAGCCTTCTCGGAAACATGAACAGCCGTCTCGACAGCCTTGTTAAAGTCCTCGTTGTCCTTGATCTGTTCCAATTTGTCCATCGAGTGAGCAAAATGTGGGATGTTGTCCTCGAGCAAGGTGCGGAATTCTGGATCGTCAAAGGAATGCTTAACAACTCCAGCGACACCAGCTCCGATCAAAGTCAACGTAATAAATGCCTTGGTGCGGAGGCGAAGTCCAGACTTTGCAGGGGCAGCCTTAGCAGCCTCAGCAACAGTCTTTTTAGCATCCGTCGAGTTGAATCTCTAAATGCAGTCAAGAACAATATAAAGGTAGATACAATTGTATTAATGTCAATTTCATCGATATCAAATGTCGTTGTGCTATTTTTTTTTTTTTTTTTTTTT